GAGCGCCCTTGAAAGGAGAGAAGCCACCAGCCCCGAAGGCCGAGCTGGGGGTTTGGACCCTGCGCCCTGGGCCGGTCTCCTCGCCGCCTGGGTTCACGCCCCGCCGTCTCTGTTCCTCCAGCGCCAGCACGGTGGGCAGCTTCAACAGGCAGTGCATGTCCTGTGACCTGGTGGAGAATTGCACCTACTTCAGTGCATCCTTCAGCCACAGCGCGGACTTCTTCCTCCTCATTCCAGACCTCGCAGTGGGGCGCAAGTAGGGACCGCTCTGTCCTTCTGCCTCAGCAGTCCTGGGAGGGAGGGGGTCACTGCTTTCCCTAATGTAACAAGCCACACACAGATGTTGAGTCGCTTGACTGCTTATCCAGACGGTGACAGGGAGCCAGGATTCAGCCCGACGGTGGAGGCCAGGCCCGGGTGCCCGGCCCAGGGGCATTTAACGCCACTGCCCCAGGCTTTTTACGCCTGACTGGTGTCGAGGGTGCCGGGTCCTGACCTCCCGGGAGGCCAACGGCTTGTAAAGGCATGCCCACACCTGAGTCCAGCTGACCGCCCTCTGCCCCCGGGCGGAGTTCTCGGCAGAGGCCTCAGCATGCGGCTTTCCCTCAGCCCCGGGCTGGGGCCTGAGCGGGACAGGAGGTCCCAGTGTCACCACGCATCGGCAGAGTCCCTGTGGGGAGCTGCTTGCAGACAGAGCCCTCCTGCAGGGGACGAGTCACTCCTGGGACCACTAATTCTGTCCCCCCCTGCCTTGCAGCTACTTCCTGAGCACCGAGGAGTCTCGGAGGCCACAGCTCCCCACAGGCATGGGCCGGCCGCACGGGCCCGCAGCCTTCAGAAGGCTCACAGGACTCTGCGAGGACGCTGGCACTCTGGGGGGCGTGAAATCAAAGCCACAGAGGCAGCCAAGGCCCAGAGACAATGGTCCAGGGATGCAGAGGCCGCCAAATTTTGATTTTTCGTGCACTTAACCAACGCTGGGTGTTGCCCCACCCCGGCGGCTTTCTGTGCTGATAACCCAGCTTCCTTTCAACTTTATGCAAATGTGACGAAGGGCTCATTCCCACGGGTGGGGCTGATGGGAGGCAAGTCGGGTCGGGCGTGGCCCTCGTCGGGCGGGAGGAGGCCTCTACTGGCTCCTGATCACCATCTTGCTGTGACATGGTCAGATCCGGAATCCCAGACGAGGCAGAGGTGTCACTGACCCTGAGGCCACTTCTTCCAGGGTCTCTGCTCCTCCCTGGCATCAGGTCCCACCTGTCACTGTTCCCACCAGGGAAAGTGGCTGGGTTCTTAAACTTAGAGATCACTAGACGTGGAAATAGCACACAACCTCTGCCTCCTCCCAGGTTTCCCAGACTATTGGGCCTGGTGCCACAGCCCAGGACACCAGCCACCCCCTGCTGGGGACCCCGAGTCCCAGGGGCATCTGTGGCTGATGGAGCCGACGCCCCTCCCATGGGACGCTTGGACATCCCTCCAGTGGGAGGACCAGCTGGTCCCTCCCACCCACCGGGTGTGTGGGGGCTGAGGCACAGAAGGCCAGCACAGGGGAGTCCCCTGGAGGGGAGAGAACTGCTAAAACTCCACATGGCTCCAGGCCCGCTGGGCTCGGGTGCAGTCAGCTGCAGCCTGGCACATTTAGATCAGTCCTGGCCACCCCAAGAATGAGGGGTTCGAGTGACCAGCCTCCTTCTCTCCCACTTTATGAATGTCTGCCTTCTCCTGGGGAGCCACCACCCCAGGGCAGGTCTCCCCATGGGTTTGTGGGGAGGGACCTCTCAAAGTGCTCCAGCAGGAACCTCCAGGTATATGAAGCCCTCGTATCTTCTATTTGGGAAATTGTATCAGGCCTCTTTATGAGCTTGGTGCTTGCACCTTGCTGCGGGTCCCGTTCCCCGTTCAGCCCCCCAAATTAAGTGAGGAGAAGCTCCACGCCTGCAGGGTTCAGCCGAGCCCGTTCAGCCCATGTCTCTTTGGGGTTCCTGATGTCATGACCAGTGCTAGGGTTCTCCTAGGAAAATCGATCTCAGGAAGACGAGCCCTGTTCAAAGAGCTGCAGCCGGCCTTCTCTCAGACCAGAGGCAGGGTCCAAAGTACTAGATAATCCAAGGGACCAGGCACTGTGCTCTTCCTCCTCCCAGCGGGGGGCACGCACAGGCACAGGCACTGCTGCACCTGTGCACCCAGAGAGCATGAAAATGTGAGTTCTTCCGGGGGCTCACCCACCAGGGAAGGGGGAGAACAGAGCAGAGCACTGGCCTTCCGGGGGATCTGGCGTGGGAGAAAGGCTCAATCGCGGAGCTGCCAGGGACTCCTCGAGCTCTTGAAAGGAGAGTAGCCACCAGCCCCGTCGAAGCTGGGGGCTTGGACCCGCGCTCTGGGCCCGGCCCCCGCCACCTGGGTTCACGCCTCAGCTGCCTCTGTTCCTCCAGCCAGCACGGTGGGCAGCTTCAACAGGCAGTGCATGTCCTCTGACCTGGTGGAGAATTGCACCTACTTCAGTGCATCCTTCAGCCACAGCGCGGACTTCTTCCTCCTCAAATGCGAAGGTAGGCTGGCGTGCCCCTGGACCTGTCAAGCACTGAGATCCATGGGCCTCCACCCCGGCAGGGGTGGTGGTGGGAGCCCGTCCCAGACCAGGCAGGGACCCGCCCAGGTGGACTCACGCGGGCAGGGTTACCGGACCATCTCTATGGCCCACGGCTTATCAGGGCTACCT